TAGGTTTTTTTTTTGTTATTGTGTTTGTATTTGGGGTTTAAAAACAATTCAAGGTTGCAGTGATTGCTGACATACACACCAATCTTCCAGCATTGAGGAAGTAATTATAACTCTTTTTGCTGTTATCGTCTTGATTTGAAAGTTAAAATCTCGACAGTATTCTTGAATGGAATTGTTTGTTTAAATTCTCTCAAGCATAAAGCACTTGAATCCAAACTTTAAAAAAAAGATGAAAATTCTAAAGAAACTCTTATAACAGATTCTAATTTCATAAAATTTTATTTGATTAAAGAAAACAGTTCATATGTTTCCTTTTATGAAATGCAATATTTCAATCGACAGAACGAAAGAAGAAAAAGGTGTACTTATTGAATTATATATTAATTTACTTGAAAATATTTTTGGAAAACATTTTCTAATTTCTATGTCATGCCCCTTCAGGATGTAGGTAATCATATCTTTTCACAACTTCTTATTCTTTGTACCTTCTAATAAGTTTTACCTTTTTACTATCATTCTCATTCCCTGTTCTGACATCCATTTAAACAAGCTTTCTAGGGAGGTCGTTCACTGCTTCCCCCCCTCTGTCCTTTTGTTTCCTTTCTGTCCTTCTTTCCTTTAACATGTCTCATGAGTGTCAAGTTCTACAATCCTACTTTCCTCAAATTAAAATTCAAATTCCGAAAGAATCCCATTCAAAAATGATGATATATCTTTTGATGATCAACTTATAAATTTCTGAGCAGCTGTTTGTGTGCATATGCTTTTTTGGGGTTTGCTGGATAACTGTTAAAGAGGAAATGTAGAAAAGTTCCTGTTTTAACCCGTGCCCTACATCTAACCAATAAGCGAGCATCAGAATTTTTGGAAGGTTCTTCTTGATCAAGTTGATAAATTTTAAGCATCTACTTCAGAAACAGTGTAACGGCTCAGGTACAACGAGGAAAAATTAAAAAGAAAAATGTGAAGGAAATAAAAAAAAAAATAATTATACAGAAGAAAGAATTCAGATAAAAAAGAAAGAAAAATAGTAAAAGTAGAAAAAAAAGAAAGAAAGGTGAAGAAAAGTAAACAGAAAAGAGGTAATAAAGAAAGAAAGAAAGAAAAAAGATAAAAAAAGAAAATTAGTAAAAGATGAAAAAAAGATGTAGAAAAGTAAACAAAAGAAGTAGTAAAGAAAGAAAGGAAAAAAAATAAAAAAGATGTAGGAAAGTAAACAGAAAAGAAGTAGTAAAGAAAGAAAGAAAATTCAGATAAAATAGAAAGAAAATTAGTAAAGGTAGAAAGAAAAATGAAGTAATTGAGATGAAAGAGAAAGGAAAAGAAAACAGAAAAAGAAATGCATAAGAAATAAAGAAAGATTTAAATAATGCATTTGTAAGGATAGAAAATGTGAATCCATAAAAAAAAAAATCAAAAAGATAGAAATAAGAAAAATGGTGACATACAAAATGAAGGCAAGCACAAAAGTGAAAAGAAAGATAAAGTGAAGATAAAGGAAAAATTCTATGGAAAGAAAAAGTATAAAAATACACAAAGGAATGAAAATCCAATGGCAAAGAAGGAAAAGAAAAATTTGAGAAAGTATAAAATATAAAAAAGAAAAACTAAAGAAATTATTAATTAAAGATAACAGTAAATGATGGCAAAGAAGATTAGTTCTCAAAAAGTATAAGGAAAAGTAAAAGAGAGAAAGTAAAAGAAAGAATGAAGAAGAAAAAGAAATCTCAAAAGAGAAAGTGAAGAACAAGAAAACAAAAAGGAAAAGAGAGAGAATGACAACAACGGAGTTAACAAAAATCAAAAATACCAAATCAAAAAAAAAAAAAGAATTATCCCGTCAAATTTTTATTTCTTTTTTGCCCGTTGTTTCAAAATGACTACACTGCAATCCAATTGTCAGTAATCGAATTTTCAAGTAAGCCATTGCGATTTTTATCCCCATTGGCAAAGAGGACATTATCTGCACTCTAACCCTTCCACTTCTGCTCTCCACTACAAAGATCACATTCTGACAACAGGTTCATAAATTTAAGTGCTACAAATTTGTTTGTCACAGCAAGAATTTTTTTTCTTCAGTTCAGTTGATTTCTGTCTTTCTGTCAACTCTACTGGATAACATCTCCAAACAATCACAGACTTTGTCTTGGCACTCACCTAACCTAATGGTACATAAGAATCTGTCTCGTGTCATAAGTTGCAGTTGTATTGTTTATGGCCACTGGTAATGGTAAGATTAGCCATTTCCATATGCTGAAACATTCACCATTCATTGACTGAAGAGTTAGCATTATTGTCGGTTGAAATTTACAAGATCTTTCTCTTGAAATAGATTTTCGGGAAAATAGGTTACTTTGCTCTTTCTTATACTGATGGGGGTTTCCTTCCTAACCTTTTGTTTGAAATAGTGTGGAATAACAACATTTTAATTTTGACATTATTTTCTTTTCAAGTTACGTTCGCTATCAATTTTAGTTACTGATGCTGTTGAAAGTCTTCAAGTAATAATGTTTCTCTTATTTGGTAAAGTCCGTCAGGAGATATACGTTGGAATTTCAATAAAAGCATTAGTTGAAGTAATCCAGTAACTTGACCCAAAGAGTTGTGAGTTCAATACCTGGCCACAGCAGAGGTGAACAAAAACTTAGAGAGTTCAGTTACTAAAGGGAAATAACTGAAAGGCATGTCATGTGGAACTAGAACAATCTACCTTGGTGAAAGAAATAAAGGGTTCGGTTTGAAATTCCAACATATATCACCTGAAGAAGGCTGGAGAGTACAACAGCCAAAACATCATGAATATGAAAATGAAAATGAGGAAAACCATCCGAACAATATCAGTCAATTATGTGTCATATGTGATACATGCTTAGGCGATCATGTATCTTTTGATACATGACTGATGAGGCAGATTTTTTTCCCGCAGTAGGTTGCGGTAGACCAGTTGCCATACGTGGCTATAGAACTCTGTCTGTTCTGCTATTCACCCATAGCTGGGGGGAGAAGGAGAGGTCCATACCTTTCCCAAGGGTATTAGCATGTAAGTGAATGTAATGGATTCAACTGGAATTCGAACTCAGCTCTCCAATTCCTCAATCCAAGCTGCTATCCATTACTCCACTGTGCCTCCTGAATAATGTAAATAATCTCAATAGTCTATTTCTTTATCAAAAATGTATATGCAAGTTTGTTTTTTCAAGTCACTGATTAAATATTGCTAAATCTTTGTGCTTGACAATCTACATGGAGGAATTTGGGATGCTGTTTTAATCAAGAAGTTATATGGGGAGCAAACTTAAGGTAAATTGATTAAAAAATCAAATCTGTAAGGATTGTTTATTAATCACTGCTATCTTCTTTCTTTCTAATAAAATTTCTTGTTAGTTAATACTTTGTTTAGCTTTTCACCATTGCAATTGGATTTCCATGTCACATTTTCTATCATCTTTTAAAATACTTCCCAGATAGATGAATTTCTGTACTTTATTTTGAGATCCCTATTTCATAGAACGCATCTTGGGTTATCCCTCTTACTAATGACCATATGTTCTGTCTTCTAACAACTGATGGTTACTCCTTTCTTCATAAAATATGGCAATGAAAAGATGTGTACAGCCTTCAGTAGATGAAGCCCATCAACTTAGAGTAAGTTAACTTACTGTAAATTCTTCTTGTTGTCCATGTCAAAGTTTTAGCCTTACATGTCAAGTGTAGGGATATTATTATTGGGGTGAAACGCTTTAAAAAAAAAATATATATCTGTTGTCCAGCAAAAACAGATCACTTTATCAAACCAATCCAACAAAAGCAATGCCAAAAATGCTTTCATTTCTTGAAAGCAAACATTTTTCCAAGCGCTGATTTGTGAGTTGTGCTTTGCTGTGTCACCTAATTTGGTTTTCACATCATTTGCATACAGGTTAGTTGAATAACTTCATCAGATAAAAAAAAAGATGCAAAATGTCTACCTCAATAGCTTTTTGATCAATATTTCTAAGTCCAGGAGTATAGGAGAATTCTAATAGACACAGGAGATCATATGCTTATGATGGGTCGAAAATTCTTCCTTCTTGGTCAGAATCACTTTCAGTCTCACTGTCACACGCATCACCAATATCTGCATGGGTAAATCTGAGAAATTCTTCTTCATCACTCTCACTGTCCATCTTCCTCTATTGACATAATAAATCCATGCCTTGCCCTGGGGGTTGCCATTGTGATAAAAAAAAACGAACGTTTTTAAAACACTTTATTAAAATTCGCTGAAAAAATAACTATTTCAGTTAGGACAAAATGACTGACATTCACTCTTTCCCAGGTGGGCTTAAGCAAGTGGATGACAGAATGTGATCTGTGGGAGGTGACAGAGGGACAAAACTTATTGAGCGCTACAAGGGATATGGGGAAGTGGAGAGCCATAATCGCCTGTGTCCTGAAAGGATGGTACATAAAAAGAAAAAGTAGGATCAAACATTGAAAATGGGCATGGCTTGGTAACCCTGACTTTTCATATTCGATTTTGTTATAACTGGCTCCTAGCAATTATAATATTAAATTTTACTTAGGCCTGACGATTGTGTCCAGCATGAAACAGAATGTCGCCTCTAAGTGTTGACTTCAATGTTCACTTTTATATTTGCACATGCTCTATCTCTGATATTGACCACTTTATCCCATAAATATAGCACACCTTAAGACTATATTTCTTATATATATATATATGGTACTGAATACAATGCCATCAAGAATAGTCTTACCAGTCTTCTCAAACTAAGAGGGGAAATTGAAGGAAATATTTTAATTGTGCCAATACCTCTACTCAGTACACAAGAGTAGACAGATAGATCGGAACAGACTGAGACAGACAGACAGACAGATAGATCGGAACAGACTGAGACAGACAGACAGACAGATAGATCGGAACAGACTGAGACAGACAGACAGACAGACCGATAGATCGGAACAGACTGAGACAGTGTTTTTTGGCTAAATTCATTCATTGTTTCCATTTATTTTAATCATATTATTCATCAACAATATTAACCAATCCATCACTAATATCAGACGATAAAAGTTGTAGAGGAAGACTAGAGCTACAAAAAAAAACATAAAACACTACAGCATAATAGTAAAAATATTTTCCCTTTTAATTCAAGTAACATTGAAAAAGAACGAACAAATTTATAATAACCCAACAGATAGAGATATGATCAAATTTAGATAGACAGATATGTATGTACATGTTAAGTACTTGTCTATCTGTTCAGGTGTGTGTGAATGTATCTGTGTGTAAGTATGTCCCTATGTGATAGTGTGCATGTGGGTGAATGGCACACCTGAGTAATGGAACATGCAATTGATTATACATGTATGTGTACATGAGTGTGTCCTACTGTCAATATGAATTTTTATTTTGATAATTAATCATTAAAATTCAACTAATTAAAATTCAACATATCCCTCACCCTTTGGCATGTCTGATTTTGATTTACATATTAAATAATAGCAGATGAGAAAAAGGCACTTCTTTTTCTGTTTATGGGGAGAATTTATTGAACATAAAATAATAATTTGCTTATTACTGTAGAAACGTCAATAAAACAGAATCAATATTAATTAAATATAGTCATATAAAAGGTATATATATATATATATATATATATATATATATATATATAGTGTGTTAAAGATCAAATATGGATCAGAATCTGATAAGATAAAGAACAAATAGGAAACGTTTATCAATCTAACATTTTTCACTTTTATTAAAGCTTCATTGGAGATTGAGAAAGTAGTGACAAAAAAAACAGAAGGTCTGGTATTTTCAACTTTGTGAGGTTTGATTTTCATTGGTCAGTCATGTATCACATGCATTGCAAACATACATATAGAATTATCCAGTTATTTCATTCAGCTTAAAACATTATGAAGGAGCGAGAACAACAGAGGAGTAATCAGGAAGATCTGCTGCTATATTTACGCTATGCATACGTAACAGTGCGTAAATTTTGCTTTTTCCTACAACAATCTTACACATATACTCATCTCTATGCTAACACAGTTCATTTTTTCTTGTGTGTTGTAAAACCAAAAACTTATTTTTTTTCTGCTAAAAAGAAAGCAAAAATTATTTTACACACACATGTATAAAGATGTAGATTGGGAGAGAGTGAGACAAAGTGAGAGTGAGTGAGAGAGAATGAGAGAAATATGTATTAATTTTATGAGAATTTGATAATTTTAAGCCTTTTTTAAATTCCCTCTTTCATAAGCATATGCTAATTAATGTGTAGGTGTTTGCATGTTAAACATATAAACAAATTAATAAATTAAATTTATTATTTATGAAAGATGTGAACATTATTTTTGATAGACTTCTAAAAATAAATCAATTTTAGAGCAAATTCAAATGAAATAATATCCAAAAATTCCAGACACTTTATTATACCAAAAATCAATTTCAAAACCAATATAAAAATATTTTAATGACACGTCCTAGTAAATTATAGAATCTCTGTATTTGCAGTTCAAAGTTACAGTCCTTTGTTAATAATTCTGTTTTATTGCCTTGGGCTATCTGTCTCTCTCTCTCTCTCTATCTATCACTACTACTCCCTACTCTTGGATTCATTCTACCTCTTTTTCTCTGCCCATAATAACTATTTTTCAGAGCAAAAATATAGTTTTATGCTGCTAAAATAAATTCCTACTGCCATCTCTTACACAATGTTAGGGAAATCTTAAGAGAGTATTTAATATTTACTCAGCTCTTTATTAAGTGTGCAACCAGCCAATGGCTATTTGAAAACAATGGTTTGGTAAGTGAAATTTTAGCCAGTAATACTTACTAATGAACAACTAAATTGCTTTACATTGCTGATAAAAATCTCTGTTAATATCAGACTTCAGATCCAGTTTTTTTTTAATTTTCTGTTGTGGCATTTTTAGGGCCAGAAATAAACACACACAGAGAGGAATTGAGTTAAACAAATATATTAACAGAAACAGAATTACAAACATATACAAATGAGAGTGTTATAGCAAGAATGTTCGCTCTGACTGTTAGAGCTGACTGATAGAAACTTCCCTCTTTAAAAGGCAGTACCTGCTCCTATTTGTAGCTGAGAGAATCCATGCATGCATGGGTAAATTACCATAACAGTTTCTCTCCAAGCAAGGTGGCAATGCCGCTAAGACTCAAGGGGTTAGTGTGAGTGAAAGAAAATTGAAAGACTTTAGTTGAAGAGAAAGGACAATAAAAGAACAGGTTTCAAGAAGACAGAAAACTGTGATTGGTGCTGCATTTAAACTTTTGAAAATTGTAGCTGGCAAGGAAGCAAGAAACTGGAAGAGAATTCCACAGGCGAGAAGTGCAAGAACAGAAACTATAAGAATAGAACTTACGGGTACATCAAGTTAATTCAACAATAAAATGATGAGACTCGTTGCCAATACTTAAATTCATGCAGTCAAGGTACCAAGGAGGAGAGATCATCAAAAGAATCACTATAAAACTATAGAAAAGACAGTAGGAAACCACATTACGGCTGTGGAAAAATGACTAAAACTGTGATGTCAGGTCCAATAAGATTAGAAACCCTTTTTAGCATTTTGTCAAGAATCTTGTAATACATAGCAGGAGCCCCAGACCAGATATGGCAGCAATATTCAATGCACAGATGAATGGTAGATTTATAAGCATGCAAGATGAATTCTTTTGAGAAAGGTTATCTAGCAAGACAGTGAACCAAATTTCTGAGCAGCACACCTAGTAATTGATTTAATAAAATCATTTTCACTTTATATCAGTGGAAAACAGAAGACTAAGAAAATGCAATGTATTGCTCTACTGGACATTAGCATCAGCCATGCTGGTGGAAGGCAAAAGAAAAGTTCTATACAATGGCTAGAAGAAAGCAGTTTTGTTTTATAGGCATTAAAATTTTTAAGCCATTTCTTGCCCCAGTAAACAACTGATTGGAGATCATTTTCAATACCAGCTACCAGTTTTACTTTATTAGCCCTATCAGATTTACTATTTCGACAAGAGTAAAGAGTTGTGTTATCAGCATAAATACAGAACTGGGAAATTTATTTGAAAAATAATTGCTTATAAAGAAGTGAGATAACTTTAGCTATGCCTTAGATAATTATTGGCAGAAACTTTTGTTTGCTTTAGACTTTTAATCACAAAAGATAGAAAGTTTATTTACAAAATTTGGCTGGTAAACAAAATAGTAAGTGATATTCATACAGGAAACATTCAGAATTCATTGACCCAATCTTTTCCGTACACAAGGCCCAAGAGCCATTCAAGTTAGTGTTACTGAAAGAGTTTGTTGTGTGAGTGGTAAGAGTAAAAGGTAAGAGGAACAGTTTATAAGGATATGTGGGAGAGATAACAGTTAACCATGAACATGAACAGGTTAAGATTGTAGTGGTTGAGAAAGCATCCTCTTGGGAGTCAGTTCCATAAAGTAGTGGTTCATGGGATGAAGTTGTTCAAGTGGAATTTACTTCTTGCTAATGGAATATGAAGGAAATGAGGTTGGTTTGGGTGAGTGCATGCAGTATGGCTAGTCTTATCTGGGAAGGGCTAGAGTTGGGAGGGGGAATAAGGAATGTAGCTCACCTGAACATTTTCCATGGAAATAATTAGTGTTAATGTTGCTTGAAATTTATAAAAAAAAAATCTCTCTTTAAACAACTTTTCAGGAAAACAGGCTTCTTGAGCCCAGTAAATGTTATCACTCTTTCTCATACTGATGTGTAGTGTAGAATGTCAACATCTTGAGTTATCATTCTTTTTCCCTTTGAGTTTCATATGCTATCCATTTTAATTGTTGCTGCTGTTGGAAGTCTTCAAGTGATGTGTTTTATTTTGGGTTTTTTTGGTAAAGTTCTTTGTGAATTTGTAGTGTCAGGCTATTAGATTATTGCTTTCATTCCAATTCCAGTCTTTGTGGGTAACAAATTATTTTCTACCCTTCAATGTCTTTACCCACAGACAAGACATCGCAAGCACTCAGTGCTGTATCACAATTTCCATAAAATTGTTCAAACAAACTGTATTCCTTAGTTCCACCAGTTTTAACATTCATGACTAAGACCCACCATACCCTGCACAGAGTGGCAAACTGTCCTTGCTCCTTTATATTCCATTAGTGAAATCGAAGTTCCACATGAACAGTTTCTTCCTATGAACTGCTGCTTTGTGCAATCAATTCCCAACAGTATGCTTTCCTGATTAGTACAATCTTAATTTGTTTAAGTATAGGGTTAACCATTTTCTTCCCACATATCCTCATAATATTTGCCTCTTACTCTGTAACCCTCTATCTCGAGTTGCTCTCGGGCCTGGTACAGGGTGAAACTCACTTTAAAAAGAAAATGAAAAAAGATTATACTTTGTTTTGGAAAGTTTTATCTGAAGTGCCATTAATTGGAACAGTTGGTAAACATGGACATTTATCTGAAATTAAATAAGATTTGGACAATTTTGTCACTGATAGAAACTTTAGTTTATATTAGACTTACATCCAGGAAAGATAAAATTTTAATAAGATCAATAAATAAACAATTTGTAGAAAATGATGTTTATTGAAAATTAAACGAGCTTTCTCCAGTAATTTAATATCATCTCTTTATAACTAATTCATAAATAAATTTTACTTCCGTTATACTCAATTCAATGAAAGCTATTCAACCAAAAGACTTTTTTTTACCTTATCATGCAAAAAGAAATCTATTGAATGTAATTCGTAAAACTAGAAGACCAACCACTGCTCTACAAGCTGGTTGCTTTTTATTTGCTCTCATATTTCAATCAAAGCTTCTATATCAACAAAGAAATGGAAATTACTTTTCTAAGATAGAGATGTTTGCCTCTGGGCAGTATCCATAAACTTGAAATAAGACGACATAGTGATAAATTCAACTAAGGGATTGCAGATAAATATAATATAATGAAAGAAATTGTTGTATTCACAGAATAGCCATT